CTGCCTGCCTGCCTGCCTCTTAAATCTTCCTTCTTATAACTGGCTTCTATTTAAATATTCCCCGTTGCAAAAAAGAGGGGGCACTTCCATAGGCATGCACCAGTCCCACTACAAAATGTCATGTTTCTGCTAAAGGGGAGGGAAGATTAGAGGACTGAGCACTACTGATATGAATGCCTTGCTACCTAAATCTCCAAAACTGTACTTCAAGGCCCAAAGAAAGATAAGATTATTGTTCTTTGTCCAGAGCTGGGAAAAGTTTTCTCTCTCTTGAAATTACAGTTCAAGCTCTACCATTGCCATAGCCTGTGGTACAATTATACAATTTCAGATGATGAACTTAATAGTCATACAAGGACTTCCTCCTCTCTTTACAGGGCCATGTTTAATAATAAATAAAGTGGAATAATAAATAAAGTGGGTCAGTAGGACATGGCTCTTGAGTATTCCAGTGAGGGAGCATCCTGCACATTGTGCGGAGTGAGGTCTTGGCTTTCTGACTCAAAGTCCTGCTCAAGGCATGGTAGAGATGCATTCAGAGCAAGGTGAAAACCAAAATAACCTCACCTGAATCAGCTTCATAGCATCTGGACGCTGTTCTGGCTTCTTGGCGATGTACCCTCCAACCCCTCCATAGATGACATCTAGTTCAGGACGTACCTCACAGACAACATCAAGCAGCTTAATGAAGCCTTCATTCACCAGCACATTCTAAAGCAGAGCAGACAGCAACTGGCTTAGAGTGAAGAAATATGGATTTCCATGCAGGCACATTTTAGGCTACTTATGCAATTTGTCACCATGAAATAACAACTATCAATAAAACTTCCATTCAGTCTTTCTGGTTCTCTGGTTTACAGGTACAACCAACCAATCAATCACATACATAAAAATTTTGGGCCCAGCAATCAAAACTTCACACTTTGAAAAACTTATTCTGTCCCTTGTATGAATGATGTGCAAATGCTTCATAAAGGCTGTCATTCTGCATAGTAGATTCTGACCCTTTAACTCCCATACTACTGGGATATCCCAAGAAATGCTGAGCCATTTCTCTAGCTATTGAAATTTCATCAAATTTCATCAACCCTGCCTACAAAGAGTTAGGCCTAAAGTGTGTGTGATGCCTACATGTAATCTAGTCTAAAGATCCTTTAGAAACTTTTATCATGCTGAATGTTCTTAGTATGCTGAATTTTCCACTTTTTCCATTTTTCCACTTTTCCTGCTTTTTCTGGTCTACACTTCTTTGGAAGTACGGCTTGCACACAGTCCTATCTAAGAAGTGAAATACTGAGTCAATTAAAAGGCTCAGAAATCCTTGATAAAACTGATGGCATCTCTTGACTTGTTTGTTTTTTTAGCAGTTCTAAGATTAAAGTGGCTACAGTCAGGATGGTGATAAATCACTCCCAGCATCAGAGGCAATAATTCAACATTATAAAATCAAGAGGTTATGAGTACATTTCTCAACACTTTAATCTATAATGTCTTCTTACTGAGATGTTGATCTCCTCCATCCTGGATTTTGGATTCTTCCTGATAGCTGTGACTAGGGCAACAGCACCCTCTACTGTCATAGGATTATGAGACATCTGTGAGGAAAAGAAATAATCATTTATCTGGCTACTGAAATAAATATACTTTTCAGTTATTGTGGGCTTGGGTTAGAGAGTTGTACTTGGATGTGGCAGGCCTTTGTTTGCTCCAGTTCGAACACAGATATTCTCTTGCCTTGGGCAGTTTATGAGCTGTTGGCCTCATTCTCAGCTTCAAAAATGGGACTAATACCAAAAGGGCTATGAACAGCAGTGATGCCTGTGAGGAAATGGAAAGCACGGCTCAGCCCTTGCCCCATTCACAGAGGATTTGAGACAGTTAAGGAAGAAGGGTGCACATCCAAGCAGAGAACTTAGGGAGGTGGGAGCGAGCTGGGGCAGGCTAGGGCTGTCTGGGAAGTCACACAAAGCTCTCCGCCTGGACCAACAATGGCACTAGTGTGTAATGAGGTAGCTGTAAATTTTCAAGTGCAGGCATGTACCAAGTTAGTCTCCATAGCCAAGCTCCCAAGGAGACTCCAGAAGTGTAGGTGGAAGAGCCTTAGCTCTGTGGTAGAAGCAGAGAACGCTTTCATAAAAAAGATCAGAGGTTTGATCCCTAACAAAACTAGAAAACCTCCTACCAAAAATCTTGGAGAGCTGCTGCTTGTCGGTATTGACCATACTGGGCAAGAGGGACCAAGAACTGGCCCAGGATAAAGCAGTTCTGGGAACCACATCTGTGTCGATATACTCAGCCCACATACATATACATTAACAAATGGAGCTCATAAAGATACGTGTCATGCTGCTGGGGAAACCAATTTCTGTCCCCAGCTACTGTGAGGATAGCGTGTACCCTCCCTCTCAATCATTGCCTCACAGGATTGTAACGAGAATAAAGTGGGGTGGGGGTGGGAGGAGAAGAGCCACATAGGCAGCCTTAAACTCATTGGAGAAAATATAAAATATAAATCCAAATAACAAAGTAATAAACACACAGTGATAATATTCTTCAAGTACTGTACATGGTATAGCTCAGCAGGATGGAGTACCTTACTGTAGACTAGGGGCTGGGAGTGAAAATCGCCCATCCCTCCCAGGAAGTGAGGCTGTAGGAGGACAGCAAACAAGAGCAGCTGAAGTGTGTGGGTCATGGGGTTCCATGTCCTGCCACTGTGCAGTCAGGCACAAGCTGGACATTCCCAGAGCACCCCCAGATAGAGGAACTGGCAGCATGAAAATTGTGTAAGTGGCCTTACCAGCACTTCATTGTTAATTATATGGTTTTTAGAACATTGTGAATTACAATAACCCTTTTTGTTATTGTATTCTTTCTCCACTAGTCTCTCCTTTTTGACTAATCTCTTCTCTTCTTTGGTTCAGTATTCACATTACTTTTCTTTTCCTACAAATGCAATACTTCCTTTGCTGTATATCTTGGACCAGCATTTCCAGCATGCTTAGCTTAACATCCCTGATCTATTCTAATAAATCTATAAAAGCCTCAAGGATATTAAGACACCATAACCTTGCAGAACTTCTGATTATCCTTCTTCTTACTCTTTAGTATCTATTTCTATTACCAATTTCAATCAGCCTCTGCAAATGTGAGAAGTTGTTTTCAAATTTTTGAATTCTACCAGAAACCCAGAAAATTATACCAGTTGCATATAAGTTTGACATGGCCATTATGCTGCCAACCAGAGGACCTTTATTTCTTTCAGAGGAGTTCAGAATATGAAAACCTACCTTCAGGATTCTAAGGCTCGCATTGACTTCTAAGCCTTTGCACAGCTTCATGGTCCCTTCATTGTTGATGTGGTTGCTGCTGATATCGAGTTCAGTGAGGACATTGTTGACCTTGAGGGCTTCTCCTAGGGCCAAACCACCCTCATTGCCAAAGCCATTCCACGAGAGGTTAAGTATCTTCAGGGATCCATTGGCCTTCGAAAAGACAAATCAACGTTCAATTTGTGGTTTTATCTATATGTCTTGTAAGTTGTAATTTTTAAAAGCCTGTAGATCTCTATAGAATCCAGTTTGATGAAGGGTGGTATATGCATGTTTCATATTATATCAATAAACAGTAAAGAAACAAACACAAGATCTCTGTTGTCAAAAAAAGAAAAAAAGAAAAAGAAAAGAAGAGAGAATGAGAGAGAGAGAGAGAGCAGAATACTGTAGAACTTTAAAGACTATAAGACCGTGTTTTGCCACATAACTTTTCTCTTTTTTATCAGCATGCTGACATAGGCTAACACAGCTACTTCTGTGGAAAAATGTCTGCTGGATTAGACCCTGAACCAGGGCTGTAATGACTTCCAGTCTCACAGGGTTGAATAGCAGAAACCATAACATCATCTGTCACACACACACACACACACCACCACCACCACCACCACCACCACCACCACCACCACCACCACCACCACCACCACCACCACCACCACCACCACCACCACCACCACCACCACCACCACCACCACCACCACCACCACCACCACCACCACCACCACCACCACCACCACCACCACCTAGGATCCCATGTTCTCTTGTACCTTAGCTGCAGTCCTCTCAGTAGGTGGAACAAAAGTGAATTTTCTCCGGAAAATTGTTGCAAGATGTACTGTACCTCTTGCACTTGGAAGTATTTGAGGGTGCTTTTTGTTTTGAGTGGGCAATTTCGAACCATTAAATTTATGACAGCCCTTTTTCGAAAATGCTGATTTGATAGCCCCCCTGGAGAGGGGAGGCATTGAAATAAGCACCTGTAGCTCCAAACTTCCCAACACACCACTGTCAATAATCTATCTAGTTCAATATCCTCTTTTTCTTCTTGACCATCCAGATCCCACGGGCACGACAGGAATGCAACAGCACCCCTCCAGTTGGGCTCGCCAGCAACTACTATTGAGAAGCATTCTACCTCCAACAAGATAGCCACATTGGTCTCTTTTGCTGTCTTCCTCCTTTTTTGTTGTTGTTCGAAATATTGTAGTTCTGCCTTTAGAATTTCCTTTTTTAAAGAAATTCCCACCCACATTCTGCCAAATATGGCTCTTCCAAGAAATTCCTGCCATGTGTTGCTGATAATTTTCTTGTACAAAATGTAAAGGAAGAAACTAAAGGATTGTCTGTTCTTGACTTAATTCTAACCAATAGACATGACTCAATGGAAGGAGTGGAAGTAAGGGGAACTATGGAGGAAATGACCATGTTCTACTTGACCTCTTGATTTCAAAGGAAACAAAAGCAGACTGTACCTGCACATGTACATGGGATTTTAGGAAAGCCAGCCTTTGAAATACCTTAAGGATCTGTTGCAAATCACAGACTGAAATGAAGTTCCTGGCTGTTATTCCACTGCCAAATATGGCACCTTTAGACTTAGCTTTCTCATAGTGGTGCTTCACTAGCTCCCTTAAACAATGCAACAACTGGATTTCCTCTTCTTGATGCCTGTCCAAACACTGATGATATAAAACACTGGCCAAATACCAGGAAGAACTGTTGCAGTAAGAGCTATTCAATACTGGAATTAACAACCTCAGAAGGTTGTGGACTCTCTTTCATAGGAGGGTTCTAAACAGAATAGGAGGGTTCTAAACAGAACTTGGATGGCTACCTATCACATATGTTTTAGCCATGGATGTGTTGCTTCTTCAGGGTCTTGACAGGATGACCCTTGAGGTCTCTTCCAGCTCTAAATTCTAAGAGAATCTCTTCCCAGTAGTGCCAAGTAAGGATAAATCTAATCATCGAAGGAAATGTGCCTTCCCAGCATTTAACATGTTTTCCTTTCAGCAATGGAATTCTCTTAGAAATCATGTGTGTCAACAATCAGACTTGCAAAGTAAGCACATGTTTACCTTCCAGTGACCAATCACAAAACAAAGCATTTTGGAAAACAAGATACAGAGGTAAGGAAAAGCATGTGCTATGACAAACAGACATAGAGCAAAAAAAGTGTGCTGTTTATATACCACCCCATAGCACTTAAAGCACTCTCTGGGTGGTTTACAAGTTAATTATGTAGGCTACACATTTGCCCCCCCCCCGGTACTCATTTTGCCAACCTCGAAGGATAGAAGGCTGATCAACCTTGAGCCAGCTACCTCGGATTGAACCCCAGGGAGAGCACAGTTTTAGCTAGAGCACAGCACTTTAACTACCGTGCCATGAGGCTCCCTAAAAATAAATCTTTCACTATTTGAGGGAACACAGCTTCTAAATACATGCTAACTGCATCATCTTAGTCAGTCCTGAATGGCAGTTATAAATCTATTCTGAAATATGTGTCAGGCTTTAATAAATGTTGGCATTTCTGAGAACTGTTTCTTTCTCAGCTCATTTGCTGCCTTCATTGTCTTTCCTTTTCAGATACCTGCTTCTCTACCCTTGCCTCCTCCTCTTCTCATGTAGCCTTGCCTTACACTTGAGACTTTGCTACCTGGCTTGGTGAAAGCAGGGTCTACCAGGTATACATTCTTACCCTGAGGCCAGCACTCAGTGCTACAGCCCCTTTCATCCGCAGGTGATTCCAGCTCAGGTCCAGAATTTCTAGTGATTCATTGTTTGCTGAAGGGGAAAAAAAGCAAAGGCAAACAAAAAAAAATCTTGTTGAGAAAGTGAAGATTGAGGGTGCCATCAGATGGACATTTAGTCCACTGTTTGGTCCTCTGCAAGGCTGGGTTGGTTCACTCTTTTTCCAGCAATCATATGACATAATTGCTGGAGCAAACTAAATCGTCCCTAGAGCACCTTTCTGAGCTCCTGCTTGAAATCACTCTGATTTGGTTCATTTCAGTATATGTGATAATTGGGAACAGACCAAAAATGAAGCTCCTTCCAGTTGGATTTTCCAACATTTTTAAGTGGCTTCACACAAGCCAGGCCTTTCAGGATATTGGCAAATTGAAAACTGGCTCTGCTCCTCGGCAGAGGGATATTGGCAAATTGAAAACTGGCTCTGCTTCTCGGCAGAGGGGTAAAAGAAGAATTTTTAGTTTAGACTGCAGAAGACTTTTGATTATGCACTGCATCAGTCATTAAAAATGTGCTTTGTCTGAACGACTGGTTGAGAAAATTCATCTATGGACAGTTTCTCGACTGGCCCTTTAAGACAAGGGAGATAATTTTTTTTAATGTATAACTGATGCAGCACATCAGCAATGGTCTACTGCCATCTAAAACAGATTTTCACTTCCTCCGCCCCTCTACATCGGCACATGCTACAGCATTGTACCCATGGGCACTCTGTCCTATGGAATCTGTAGGGCTGGTGACAGCAGCAAAGTTTCCACTTGAGACCCTGGTGAGGCTGGGGAGAGTAAGGAAGGAAGTAAAGACAGAACGAGCCACTTTACCTTTAAAAGTAAGTCTCTCTTCTAAACTTTAGTAGAAATCTGTCACACCAAAAGTTGCTAGATATCCTCCTACTTGGTTCTATGAATTTATATCTCCCTGTGTGGTGTATAAATTTAGACCAGCTTATATATGAGGATGAAGGAGCTTTAGGGCCATTTCATTTAATGAAAAATTAGAGATTAAAACAGAGATGAGAATTTTCCTCTTACAGGTGCATCAACACTAACCATAGCTGAGCATTAGTCACACAGTGTGACAACTCGACCTTGGATAATAGGTACAGGGGTGGGCAATCTGTGGTCCTCCAGATGTCACTGCAATGTAGCTCTCATCAGTCCTACCCTGCACAGCCAATGGTGAGAGATGCTTGGAGCAGCAACTCAACATCTGAAGGGCTGTCCACACCTAAATTAAGGGTTTTGTCCTTTGTTATGATGAGATTGGGCAGCTTTCCTTATGTTTACTGCTTAAATTTAGAAATGAGTACTCCAGGACCAGAAAGGGGATCAGTTTTCATAATTATTTTTCATTTGATCAGTGACATATAGTTAAGTGTGCGGGCATCGACTGTGCAACAGCATAAGGTGTCTACAAATTTGTTTAAAAACCTAACATTTGCAGAAAAATAATGGTGAGAGCTGCATCGCCTTCTAAAGTAACAGCACCAAAGGATTCCACATTCCCCTCATGACATCTGGGCATATCCTCACCACAAAGAAATACATATGTGTGCAGGGCCTTCTACTAGGTAGAGATGGGAGTTTAGGGGTTACTAAAGGGAATACCCAGTGTAATGTAAAGGATAGTGTGACAGAGCTGGATTGAGTAGACTTGGGTTCAAATCCCCATTTAAGCCATGGAAACTCAGTAAGGAATGGAACTTGCAAAACCAGCCCTTTAATATTATAATTACTTTGTAAGCCCTATTAGAGTTGGATTTGGACTTGACAACACATAACCTTCAAGAAGGGAAGCCAGCAGACTGCTACTTGCTTGCTTTCAGCCAAAAGGCTAAAGGGTAGTGCAAGTGGGGAGGAATTGGCCTTGGAGGACATATACCATATGGCAGACTTCCTTAATCGGATATCATGGAATGCAACTCCCATCAGACTTAGCTTACATGGCGAAGCCCAAAACATTGGGAAGATGTCAGGCTGGAAAACTCTGCCCTAAGGTCTGCCTTCTGCTCAGTTCCTCATCAAAGGGGCCCTTTGGCTACAAGATCCTTATACATTGTTACCTAAAATATTACCAAGGAGTAGGAACTGGCCATGGAGGATGTAGATCTTGGGTTTCATTGCCTCCCAACACTATCCTGCCACCACCATTAACTGGCAAGAACAAAGACATCCTGAGTCCTCCTGCCACTTGATGCTGGAGATGAAACACCACTGCCCCATTCCCCCCACTGGGAGTGCCACCTCTCAGAGCCTCATCCTTCTTTAGCTGCCCAGCTCACCTTCTTTGTTTGCCCACCCAACCTACACAGACCTTCTTCCCTTGCCCAGTTTCTTTACCACTTACAGGTTCCCAAGGAGAAAAGCCCTAAAGCTGAACGAAGTATCTCCCCCAAGCTAGTCCCAAATTTTTTCTCCTATGAATGGTGTTTACAGAATTCTCTCTTGTTTCCACCCATAGGATCAAAGCAATTGCAATATTCTGCTTGCCCGTGTTGTGCTGAAGAGACTCCAGGTGCTTGCAGACAGAGTCTATCCAGAATCACAGTGTGGATTTTGAGCTAATAGATCCACCAATGATATGGTATTTTACCTCAGAGAGTTGCAGGAGAAATGTAGGGAGCAATGACAGCCACTCTTTGTGGCCTTCATAGATCTTACAAAGGCCTTTGACTTGGTTAGCAGGGACAGCCTTTTTAAAATACTTCCCAAGACTGGATGTCCACCTTGACTCCTTAACATCATCAGATTCTTTCATGAGGAAATAAAGGGCCCTGTAGTTTTTGACGGCTCAACATCAGATCCCTTTGACATCTGAAGCGGAGTGAAACAGGGCTGTGTCCTCGTGCCAACCCTGTTTGGGATCTTTTTTGCTGTCATGCTGAAGCAGGCCTTTGGAACTGCAACAGAAGGTGTCTATCTCCGGACTAGATCAGATGGAAACCTCATTAATCTCTCTAGATTGAGAGCAAAGACCAAAGTCCAACTGAAATGCATGCAGGACTTCCTCTGTGCCAATGATGCAGCTGTTGTTGCCCAATTTGCTGAAGAGCTCCAACAACTTACGAATCGTTTTAGTAAGGTCTGCCAAGATTTTGGACTAATAATCAGCCTGAACAAAATACAAGTCATGGGCCAGGGCGTGACTCACGTCTCTCTATTACCATCGCTACACAAGAATTGGAGGTTGTTCATGATTTCGTGTACCTTGGCTCAACAATCTCTGACACCCTCTCCCTAGATGTCGAGCTGGATAAATGCATTGGCAAAGCAGCTACCATGTTCTCTAGACTCACAAAGAGAGTATGGCTTAATAAGAAGCTGACGACATATACCAAGATCCAGATCTATACAGCCTGTGTCCTGAGCACACTCCTGTACTGCAGTGAGTCCTGGACCCCTTGCGCATGGCAGGAGAGGAAGCTGAACACGTTCCATATGTGTTGTCTCCCACACATTTTTGGTATCACCTGGCAGGATAAAGTTTCAAATAAAGTAGTCCTAGAACAAGCTGGAATTCTTAGCATGTATACATTATTGAAACAGCGACGCCTACATTGCCTTAGGCATGTTGTGAGATTCTTTGACGGATGAATTCTAAAAGATCTCCTGTATGGAGAATTAGTGCAGGGAAATTGCCCCAGAGGGAGACCACAGCTGCGATACAAGGAGATCTGCAAGCGGGATCTGAAGGCCTTAGGAACGGACCTCAACGGAGGGAAACCTTGATATCTGAGCTTTCAGCCTGGAGGCAGGTGGTGCATCACGGCCTCTACCAATTTGAAGAGACACTTGTTCAGCAGGCCGAGGCTAAGAGGCCGTCCCAAACCCAGCAAAATCAGGGAGCTGGACAGGGGACAGATTGTATTTATCTTTAGTGTGGAAGGGATTGTCACTCTCGAATTGGCCTTCTCAGCCACACTAGATGCTGTTCCGACTTCTATTCAGAGTGTGCTACCATAGTCTCTTGAAACTGAAGAATGCCTACAAGTTAATAGGATCTAATGCCTTATACTATTTGCCTCTATTTAGGCTCAATTATTATTTTTCTGAATAAAACACATATTTCTTTAAAGACCAACTAAAGTGTCTATTCATCTCTCTTCCAATGGAAGCAGAATCCAGGTAACTTTGCCCTTTTGAAGCTTTCTTCTGTTTAAGAAATAGGGAGCTAGCGTTGTCAGATCTCAGGGTGCCTGCTGAAGTCTCAGGGTATTGCTATGGCTTCCCATATCTCCAAACTGGAGCCTTGTGGCCCAGTATGTAAACTGAAGTATTGCAGTGAAGACTCTGCTGATGAGTTCGAACCTGGACTCAGGTAGCTGGATCAAGGTTGATTTCTTCCATCATTCATGTTAGGTTTTCTTTTCTTTTCACTACAGAAATTGTCTTCACATTCTTCCCTAATAATATCCCTGGTTTTAATACACAGTTCTTTTGGTTCACAGTCAATTAGGATTAGTAATGCATATCTGTTCATGATGGGGAATATTAAATTATATTTTGGTACTATAATTCTTTTAGTGGTCTACTTCACCTTTATTCTAATGTTGAATATAAACAGTTTATGATCAGTATCACTCCTGGTCTTGTTTTGGCAAAGAGAATAGAGCTTCTCCAGCTCCTCCTTCTAATTACTCCTCAAAGAAGTAATTACCATAAGTCTATTTGATTTCTGTATTGACCACCTGGTTATGTTCATGTGTACAGCTGTTTGTTTGTTTGGTTGAAGCATGTATTTGCAGTAAATAAACAGTCAGTTTCACAAAACTTGTTCTCCTGCTTTTTTTACTATAGAAGTTGTCTTTTTGCATTCTTCCTCAATAGTGTCTCTGGTTCCAATCCCCATTTCTTCTGGTTCACATGGGTTTATGTCACTAAGATTCAAATCTTTATTTTAAATAATTTAAATTTTAAATGTCATTACACCTGGTTTTACCTGGGTTTATGTTATTACATTATATGCCAAGTTTCTAGTTGTGGTTTTTATTTTGGCCTGAAAGACTGGAGATAGGTGTGTTGCATGGCCAGCATAGCAACTTGGCAAGGAATGAGATACTGCTGACATGGCAATCCAAAGGGAGTACCTAACTTTCTGATGGTTGGTGGCTCTTTAAGCATAACAAAGGTTACCTAGCATTTGTCCCAGCTGCTCTCCTCCCTTCTCAGCAAATTCGTTGTGACTGAGGTCCAGCTCCATCACTCTGTAATTGGCCTGTGGAGAGAAGTGGCAGAAAGATCTCTAAGCTCAGATGCATCAAGGGCTGGCTTTTGAGGTTTAGCTTCTTGATTTGGCATCTAGTGACTATTGGTCGCTATGAACACAAATAACCATTTGGGGTAGGGTATTCATCAATTTACTCTCTTGAGTTTATGGTAATTACTTCTTTGAGGTAGTGCCATGCAACCATCATAAATTCATTCATGACATGGTGCATATCCTGGATGTGTAAGAAAAAGAAATAAGAAGTGAATGCTAGACCAGATCAAAGCCCTGTCTCATCCAACGTTCAATTCCTACAGTGACCAACAGGGCTATTGGGTCTGAGGGAGTCTGAATTATCAACTGAAGTCTCAAAGAATTGCTATGATTCTCCCTTTCTCCAGATGGGCAGACAAAAAAAAATCTCAGGGCAAGCTTTATGAGATGAGCCGCATGCTCAACTGATGTGGCATTTAAAGCCTGGACAAATATCTCTGTCCATCCTTGGTTTGGCTCTAATGGTTCAGTATGAATGATTCTGTATGCATACTGGATTTTCATAATTGTGTAACAATTAATTGCCTAATTTGTATAACAAATATGCCTTAATTGGCTTATTGTGCAAATTTGTGCTGTGTGCAAATTAGACTACCTAACTTAATAATAATAATTGTCTGCCACCAAGTCAGTTCTGAGTTATGGCAACCCTTTTCAAGGTTTTTTTTTTATTTTTTAGGTAGATAGTACTCAGAAGTACTGTCCCTTCTTCTAAGAGCATTCTGGGATTGTACAGCTTGCCCGAAGCCACAGTTCTGAGTTATGGCAACCCTTTTCAAGTTTCTTTTTTAGGTAGATAGCACTCAGAAGTACTGTCCCTTCTTCTGGGAGCATGATGGGATTGTACAGCTTGCCCAAAGCCACACAGGCTGGCTCTTCTGAGATGCACTATGGGGAATCAAACTTCCAACCTCTGGCAACCTAACTCATTGGGCTATCCAGCCATGCAAATTAGGCTGCTTATATTTGGAGAACTTGGCGATCCTATCTTCACTGAGATTGTTGGCACAATTTGTGAGATTGACAGCAGGATTTCTGGAGGCTGGGAAAGGCTTTTGATCCAGACTAAGATCTCCATGCTGGTGCTGATCAGCTGATCAGTGGGGGAAAGTAAACTGAGTCTGAATAGCTTCATACATTATAGAACATCTCAAAACCACACGAGGTCCCAAGCTCCAGGTTGTTGGACCCACCTTTAAATGACCCATCTAGCAAAATATTTTCCCTACAGTCTTTCTTATGCACATTCATACTATCTTCAGTTCTAGTTTCCCTTACTCACCATTAATGACTCAGAAAAATACATTGCTGATTCTTCTCTAAAGTTGTTCCCTGAATTAAAAAAAGAGGATGTGAATGGGATTGTGAGCTATATGAGGCATTATTTACAGTCTAAAGTTGTTCCCTGAATTAAAAAAAGAAGATGTGAATGGGATTGTGAGCTATATAAGACCATTATTTACACAGATCATGTTTCCCCTTAGGAAAACCACACATACAGCACTTGCCAAGTACATCTGTCAACTGCATTTGGAGTTGTAATTCTCCTGAGAGATGATACTATAGACCTGCTAGCATTTGCCATTCATTATGACACAAATGCATTTTTTTCATGAAAATCATCTTGTGCAACGTGGTTCTAAATGGGGATAACACATATACAGATGTCATATTAAAATGTGGATTAAGAAAATGGTTGCAATAGTATGTCAAAATAAGACACAAAGGTTTAGCCCTTAACTATGTCCTCTCTTAAAGGATTATATATTTTCTGTTTTGGAATTGCCAGGGCAACTGCATCTCAAAGATTCTGTATGCAGTCCATAAGTGCACCTCTAGTATATTAATAGCAAACATTCTCTGAGTGTTGATCCTTACCTAGCTACAACAGCATCATCTATGCATAAGAAAGAGGATGGGGAAGAGCATGGGGAAGTCCCAAGTTATGCAGAAGTTAAAAAAATCTATAGGAAACATGATGGGAGGAAGCCATAAGACAGCTTGAAAAAAGTTGAACAGGCTTAGCAGTACATTGTGCTTATCAATTGTTGAGGGGGGATATAACCTAGGGAAGACATTGTGCTTATCAATTGTTGAGGGGGGAATATAACCTGGGGAAGAATGAAGCACAGTGGTGCCTTGCAAGACGATTGCTTCGCATGATGACGATGAGGTTTTCGGTTTACGATGAGGTTTTCGGAGCGATCTTGCGCTTCGTTTAATGATGTTTCCTATGGCCGATTTTCGCTTTATGATGTTAGTGACCTTGCCTCGCAGGACGGTTAAATTTTAGGTCCCTGTTTTTCGCTTTACGATGTTTTTGATAGCTTGGTCTTGCTTCGCTATACGAGTCTTTTAATAGTCTCTGTTTCAATAGACGGCTGTCTTCGCTTGGTTTTTAATGGTCTCTGTTTCGTTAGACGGTTATCTTTGCTTGGGAACTGTGTTTCGCTTAATGACTTTTCCTATGGTAATTTTCGCTTTACTATGACAATCCGTTCCATTGGAATGGATTATCAGGTTTTCAATGCATTTCAATGGGAAAACATGTTTCGCAAGACGATGTTTTCGCTTAACAGCGATTTTCACGGAACGAATTAACATCGTCTTGCGAGGCACCACTGTATCCTGGAAGGGGGCATGACTGGCTGGTTCTAATTCTGAGCAGAAGCACTCTATAGTACAAAATGTTGTTGTCCTACTTATTGCAAAATTCTTTTAAACCAAAGCTCTCCAGTCCTGTGTGCTGGAGGTTTTTTTGCAGCCTTCCACGCTGCCTTTGGTAGTTTGGCTGGGAGGGACCTTTCTGGGCTGGGGTGAGTGTCAGTCTATCCAGCACTGATCAATTGTCTCTTCCCTGCCTCTGAATTCAAAGAGAACTCTGCCTCTCTGCTCTGCCCTTTCCCTTCTCTTTTGCCGCTGGAGTCACTGAGCCTGTTGAGCCCTGTTGCTGAGAGCAGTCATGTTTTTGTCAGTTTGCTGTTTTATTTCTTCTCTGTAAGTAAATAAAACCTTTTTACAGTACTATATTCTTTCTTCTAATGATGTCTCAGAGTGAGCTATTGAGACTGCGAGTGCCGTTTAATGAGAAAAGGGGGTGGACTACTTGGGGAACTTGAATCCGATTCTGCTCTGTGAACACCTGCACTTCTGCTGCTCAGCTAGAGGAATTTAACAAAAATTCAATACTCCACAACACTGAGCTGCTCCACTGAGTCACCCACCCTCTGTATTGCCTACTCGGATTGGCAAACAGAAGCCTCTCCCAGGTATATCTAAGACCAGTTACTTCAATGTACTAGAGCTGGAGCTTTATACATTTTAAAGGTACTGTATATGATTGTTGTAGTTGTGAAAAAAGGCAACAGGTGTTCTGTGATTGAGTTTAGCTCCATTACCTGCTGAATTTTGCCGCTAAGGATATTATGCCTGAGCTTGCTTTTCTCCTCCTCCTGTCTTCCTCCTTTGCTTCTTTCTTTCCTATTTTAGAAAAGGACTGACTTACTTTTGATCTTAGAAGTTGTCCTGAAAACCCTTCTTCTAACTGCAGAAGAGGTAAATACCTTGAATTCATTGATTCATTCATCCATTGTGCTGTATCTGTATGCTATGACAAATGTGCCAGTTCTTCCTTGATAGTCAAATGTTTCTGGATATTCAGAAATACCAGCATTGTTGCTATGTGAGGGTAAAAATGTTTTACCTGCAAGCCGAATAGCACGAATGTTAGAAATATTATGATAGAACATCCTGCAGATAGCTTCAGCTCCATCTGTGTTGAGATGATTCCTGGAAATGTTCTGAAAGGAAAGTGGAGTCAGTGGGGGGGGGGACAATGGGAAGAGAGTGAAAATCCTTCAAGAATGAAGGTATTTTCATGGTCTATGCAAGGTATACTGGAAGAATTTCACATTTACTGGTATCAATAAAAATGACCCAATCCACTCAATCAGATAAAGGTACTACAGCAAATCAGCACTGTTGATCACAATTCATCCTGAAAGGGACCAAGACTTACCACTATTCACAGCCACAGTGCATTGCCGAAGCCACCTCTTTAAAAAATAGTGCACTGCAGAAAGCCGCATCTTTGAAAATAAGTTCTTTAGGCTTCTCAGGAGAGAAATCTTTACAAATTCTTCATTTTGCCTCTGAAGTTTTATTTCATATGTATTAGATAGTTCTTAGTACTGTATATATGACAGTTCAGAGGAACAAACATGAGAAGGACTGCAAAATATTAATTAGTATGAAAAATAAATGATGTAACCAAGCAAACTGGTAAACAGAATTCATTCCACAGTTCTATATAAAGTTGGATACCATCTCCTGGATGTAGCAGTTTTCCCGCAGCATCTGCACCAGGTATCTGGTTCCTTCACCAAGAATCCAATTATCCTCCAGCTCTAAGTGAGTGATGGTTGTGTTGGACTGCAGAATTCAAGAAGGGAAAGAAGAACAGAGAACTGCAGGCAATTAGTAAATTAACATTACGGAAGTAATGTCTTTGCCCAAAATATTCTTTTCCACAATTCACTATTCAAAAAACTATTTTGAAATGAAAGTCAGGTCAGCTAAAATACATACAGTATTACCGTATTTTTCGCTCCATAAGACGGCACCTCTCCATAAGACGCACCAAATTTTTAGGAGACGAAAACAGGGAAAAATAATCTGTTTTCTTCGCTCCATAAGACGCACAGACTTTCCACCTCCCCCTGTTTTGTGGAGAAAAAGTGTGTCTTATAGAGCGAATACGGTAAGTTAATTGTGTGGATGCTATTAACATTTTTATATTTAGTTTTCACACAAATGCAGACAAAGCAAAAAAAATCTAATTTAATAATCTAATACAAAATGAAGGAAAATCCACATACATAGTGCTTCCTGCAACGAGGATCATTATGGATTTTAAAAAACTGACCTATACTGTTTACGCTTATTGAGCCCCTTTCCCCTTCCAAAACTGCATAGACTCTTGAGTTGAGCTTTGTCCCTTCCCCTTGAATAGTACAAAATCAATACATTCTTCCCTTATGTTTACAAACACATCTCTATCAATGTCCTCTTAATTCTTATATCATGTGTAAGTTTATCATTAATTGTGATATCCCTGACTTACCTATACCATTCATCTAACAAGATATTATGAGCCTTTTCCCAGTTTTTAGCAACAACCAATCTCACAGCTGTTAGCGAACTGGAAACTAGTTCTCTAGTCGTCCAATTACTTGCCTCCTTTTCATTTGTAGATAAAAGTGCTATTTTAGGATAAACAGCTAATATTAAATTGCTTATTTCATTTGTTTCCTTAAAAACCAATTGTCAAAATGTCAATATATACTCACAGTTCCACCACATGTGAAAATATGCATTTGTTTTCTGGCACCTTCTCCAGTCCATCTTAGAGTAACTACCATCTATTTGATTACATTTCACTGGAATTAAGTACCATCTCCAAACAACCTTATAGAAATTCACTTTTTTGACATTGATTTCAATATTCTGTTATTCCATATGCTGTTCCATGCACTAGAACATATTTCTGTAGTATAATTCCCTCATACATCATAATTTCCCTACATTTACCATTTTTTTTATTCAATTCTTTGTTCACTTCTCTAATTGAATAATATACCAGGATACTTCATCTTGACCTAAAACTTATTTTATTTGTTTTTTTTTTCCTAACCAGTCCTTTATTCTAAAAACTTGTATCTGTACTAACAAATTCTCAATTGATTTTTTCAAGTTTTCAAGGAATTTCTTCAGCTCACTCATTGGTCATAACGAGAAAACTCTTGGAATAAATAGTTTTCTATATCACGCATACATATATTATTGTATTTGTCTTGTCTTGTTGGAAAAGAATATTTACCAAACTCACATACATTTTTTTTTGGTTTCCATGTTTAACCAAATTAGTTTATTAGGCTGTGATATATCATCTGAAATATGTCTTAATTGATTAGCAATACAATGTAACCTTCAATTAGGAAGTCCTAAACCTCTATTTTTTAAAGATCTGTACCATCTCCTCTTGTTAATCTTAGACTCCTTGTCTCCATTGCAAAATTTATTAGTCATATTTTGCCAATCCTTTAACTCTTCACTAATCTTTATTGGTGATATTGTGAATAAAAATTAACCTTAGGTAATATCTTCATTTTATATGGTGCAATTCTGCCAAACCAATTTTCATTAAATCTTCAAACTTATTCGTGATTACTTGTTTCAGTGTTTTATAATTCTCTTCTTTCACTCTGTCCAGATTACATGAAATATTTATACCTAAATATTTAATAGTCTTTAGAATATTAACATCCTATGATCAGACCTCTCTCTAGCTTAAGAGCAGTGGTAAAAGACATGGACTGGACGGGAGGAGCTATGCAATGACATTAACCCTTGTACTCTCTTTAAATTTTTTGTACCATCCACAAAGGGAGAGCTGGAAAACATGTCTTGATCTAAACTCCTCCCTAACCTTGAAGCTGCTTTTAGGGTGCCTGTCCCTGACTCCGTAAGGCAGTCTTCTGAAACCTGGTGCCCAGTCAGCCCAGCGACTGATAATGCTGGCTAGGATATTCATAGCTGTAGCTGGAGGATATTAGGTTAGGTGAGGATATGAAAGGGATTTATTTTGGCTATTTTGATCTAGTAAATCTAGTAATTAGTGCTGTATCCTATTATCAGTTAGGAGACGAAAGCCAAGTTTGATTTCCTTCTTGGTACCCTTAATTCTAGTGACAGAACAAAATTTTCAGACATTTTGTAGTAAAACAAGAAGTCTTGTGACATCTTAATGTCTGAGACATTTTCTGTTATAAACTTTAAGAGACTGCAATCCACTTCATTGGTGCATTTTATGATATGGCCTGCAGTTCATGGAAGCTTCTGACAAATAAAATTTCTTTTTGAGAGATGTATTGTATGTTTCAGGCAATTTACTGTTGTGCTTAAGATTTTGCAAATGTGATATATGGGAAACAGTCCCTTCACCATTTACAGACTCCTGCCTTCTTACATGTGCAAAACTGTATGTAACACTAAAAATTCTTAACCATATCCATGGAGAAATGACAGTTCTACAAATTGTGTTAGCATTTAGGAAGTTGTTGTACCTCTGTCATTCAGCAGATTTTATTGTCCATACAACTACAGTCACTGAGAGTGTAGATCACTGTGAGCAGTATACAACACTTTAAGAAAATTTGCTATGAGTAGCACTAGTTGTGTGATATATGCCATCAGACGCCCTTGCAATGAGTTCTATATAAAAGAAGCCCAAAGCTTGCATAGACAACCACCTTGGCTGTATCAGAAATAAAAGATAAGGATTTCCTGTGGTCAGTCAATTTATTTAACATAATCATGCTTTGAAAGATCTACATTTTGGGGTTATAAATGCTGTCCACATAGATCATGATTTGCCTTTCCTGAAAAGAGAAATGGATTGTATATTAAGACTTAGGGACATTGAGCCCAGCAAGGTCTGAATGAAGAATTAAAGGTTGTGCTTCTTTTCATCAGTGTCAATGTTTGCATGCACACTGTCGATGCTCTTCGGTCAATCAGCTTTTAGACCGGTTAACATGACCCTGAAAAGTAGCTATAGTAAGATCTCATTTATAAATATTGCACCCTCCCCTCATCCTGTTTTCAGTAGTTTAGTGGCGCTGCCAGCCAGACTGAAAGAGATCTTCATTAAGAAATGTTAAATTATTGGTGTGTGTCAAATATGATGGTTTCATTATTTAGTTGTGCTCAGTAAGATGCCTTATGAATGCTCTCTCTATAAATATGGAAAAGAACAGTTAGGTAGTTGCATGTAATGTATTGTATAAGTGATTTAAAAGTGTCTATCAGTGTCTTCTGAATTATGCTAACCTATCTACAGTATTGTCCTTCTTTGCTTCTTTTTAAAGTAGGCCCTGAAGAAGGCCAGGAATTTATTTGGCCTTAGTTCCCTTAGGCCCCAGCCCACTGAGCAGCTTTTAAAGTGTAATAAACCCATTTTCTTCAGCATCCTTTGTCTCTCATTCATATTAGTATTTAGAGGGTGTTTCCAGTTTCTCTTGGTTTTTGTTTCTCACACACACATCACTGTACCTTTATTTAAAGTCAGCTGGCTGCTCAATACTGAAGTGCATTGAGAATCCCTATGTCGTTATTTCTTTCACATTTGGCAGATTTCACTGTTGTTTCATCCAACATTTCCAAAGAAGAAAACCCATCATTAAAGCAACTGTAATTCTAGTCGATATGATGCAAAACCCTACAATGAGGGAGAAACATGCATTGGGGAAAAGGCCAATTATGCTTTTAAAGCATATTTAGTAATGACATAATTCTTCCTCCACAGATATGAATGTTCCCCTTCCACCACAAAGAGGAGGAAACAAATGTATTGCCTTCAAGTAGCATGGACAAAAAGCTTGCCAGGTACTTACAACCAGAGCAATGGCAAGGGCCTTGGTTCCATTAGGCCCCAGCCCATGATGGTTTAGGTTCATAATGGGCTCTTCCATGTTCCGAATGAAATATGAGACAGGAACCACTCCCACCAGCTTGCAAGCTTCAGTGTACAGTTCTGCACCCTTTATTGTTGCAAATGATCGCTCCGCATCTGCAAAAGCAAACCAGCACGATGGCAAAATGTTCTGCTATACTCACCACAGAGAAAAAGAGAGAGGTGGCAGGGGGCGGGGGCAGAGTGAGGGATTAAAATATAGAACAGTTTCTACCCTTGGAGTTAATGAGATGTTATTAAGAAAATGGTGGAGCATCCTGAAAAATCATACTAAGGCTTACTTTCAGGTTAGGTCTTATTTTCGGGGAAACAGGGTATATAAGATGATGATCCTTAGAATATCTCTGCAGTTGACAACTTCTGAATTTCTTCTTTATGCCTTGTATAGGTGCAGACCTCAGACTGCAAGAAAAACACTATTAGATCATGGCCAAAATCCTCTTGCTTAGTGTGGAAAATAGCACTAGCGCAGGCTCATTGAATCAATGGGAACACAGTGAATCAGTTCCTCCATAAATTCCATTGATTCAGTGGGGCTATTTGAGTGCAATTTACTGCACTAAGCAATAGTATTTTGGTCCATAAATACAGATCTCCAGCCTTCTTTTAGATGTAGCAAGCCTATGTTACATTACAAGTGGCATCTGCAGACAAGTCAGGTCCTAGTTAACTTTATTTACAGCAAGGGAAATATACATGCAGATCTGTTGGGGATATACAACCTTGTACTTACAGGCTCATTTTATCTGCAGCCTTCTTTTAGATGTAGCAAGCCTATATTACATTACAAGCAGCATCTGCAGACAAGCCAGGTCCTAGTTAACTTTATCTACGGCAAGGGAAATATACGGTACATGCAGATCTGGTGGGGATACACAACCTTGTACTTACAGGCTCACTTTATCTGATAGATACTTGATATAAATGTGTATTTAGGCTTTTAGAACTAGATTGTGCCTCATGTAACACTTTCATATTCAAGGGCAAAACTTCAGTCCATAATTCTGACAAGGCTATTCTTGTCAAATAGCTTTGATAATGCTATTTTGTGACTGATCCATTTCTTTTTTTGCCTTCGTGTGCTAAAATGAAAGTACAAGAGGCAAATGGCAGTCCTTGATTTAGCAACAGACACAGAGTAGCCTTGGACAAGTCACAATTTTACAAGGTTATTGGTAGAAGGGTTGAGGGAAAAGGTTTGGATAGGAGACAGGGCAGTAAACATTCACCTTCTATCTCAAGATCTGTGTCAGAACTGTCTTCTCGTGTCTTCTCTTCTGCATTGTCAGTGGCATCAGCAAGAGACTGTACCTCTGCAGATATGCTACCTTCTGACATCTCGCCATTCTCGTCTGGAACAAGACCAATCACATTCATTCTGCAGATACGAACGTCAGGTCCATCTGATGTCCAATACACAATGTGGTGCACAAGAAACCTATTTTGTTGTCAGCAAACAGTTAACATCTATGGAGCCCCAAAGTATCTGAAATGACATTCAGCTTCGTTCCCTATCTTGGTCTTGTTGCTTTCCTCTTCACTGGCCATAAAAGTCACCAAAATACTGTGATGTCCAATACACAATGTGGTGCACAAGGAACCTATTTTGTTGTCAGCAAATAGTTACCACCGTAGGTCAACGGATGCACCCCAGACTGGAAATATAAGAGCCAACCATTTGCTGCCTCTTGCAGATACTCGTCCAGCATGCCTCCTATCCAGATTCCACAAAGCACAGAGTTCCTTTCAATTGCTAGGATCTGCCCTCTCTCATCCCAGTGTTGACCTTTGCACTATCAGTTACCCTTACTATATCTTCCGCACTTGGTTGATTCCCCCCCCCCCAAATTATAACAATTATTTCCTTCCCTTTCCACTATCCCTTTTTTGCTGCTCACTGGAAGGCCTGCCAGTTGTCTTGTGTGTCAGTCTGAGAAGGCTTGGGGGTGTTGTGTTCTTTTCTAATAAGGTGAAATGGTTTGAATGCCAGTGTGCCCAGGGAAGGGAAGCAAGTTTTGTAACTAGATGCTGTTAGATTGGATACCACTTCTCTCACCTCCAATTCATAATTTATTTTACAATTAGGTAGAAGCAGAGTTCAGAAAATTGCCCCTGAAGATACTATACATGAGTCTCCAATGCTGTTTCTATTCAATTTTGTCCTGGCTGATGGATGGGAAGGAAAATGATGTCACAATTTTTCAATCTTTTTCACATAGTGTTGCTTGGCCTCTTCCTTCCACTCATTGAGTTACTAATGTGGACTTTTGGCCCCTCCTTAAGTGCGCTATTCAATACAGTACTTTAGACGGATTTGAGATCCACTTTCAGTTATCCAGGTATAAATATGCGTGAGAAAAGAAGTGTACACTGGGCCACTGATAGGTATCTCTCTCATTTCACTGCATCGGCTCTCCATATTTCAACATTTTACCTTCAAACAGGGTGGGAAAAACAAACCACATTCATTATAATTCATATAACTGGGATATTTCAAAACAAGAACAAATTGTGAGAACTTCAATTCAATGGATCTGGAGGGCACTGGGCATGGATAAATCATTGGCAAATGAAGTAAAATAAAATTATAAGCAGAAAAGCTGTAGGGTCAAACTAATTGCTTGCCATATATTTATTTTACTCCAACTCCAGTGGTTAAGGATGATAGGAATTGTAGTCTAAACACATCAAGAGGCCTACAAGTTCCCAACTCTTCCAATAAAGGATCCAATAAGGCTGATTAGGTCAACTGCCTGCTGAAAATCTGCACTCATCCATCAGTCTTTCTTAATTACCTCCTCCCCATTTCTAGACCATACAAATAATGTGTGTGTTATAATGTGCCATCCTAATTGTAACACAACTTGCGGTTTGTCTGGAAAGAGAATCCTCACTGTCTCTCCCAGTTTCATTCATCCACAGTTCTCATTTCGTGTCAGATATGGAAGCTCTACTTCCTACCTTCCTCTTGACAAAACTGGCACTATGAGAGAGTTGTTTTTCTAAACTCACATGAGCCTGGTTACTTCACCAGTTTTGAAGTACTAGTTCACCAGTACCACAAGACATCTCAAAATATTGACCTTCCTTCTTGGGATCTGATATACACATGCATGCGCGCACAGGCACACACACACACGTACACACACATTTAGAAGAGTCACTGTATAAGTAGAACATGTGCTGAGCCCCTATGACATTCTTCTTGCAATTTTTATTTTACACAGTAAATGTATAACACTCTCACCTTCATCATCATCAAAGTCAAAGTTAAGATAGTCCATGGTGTTGTTAGGGAACTAGTAATTCTGCTTCCTAATGTCTCCTTTTTCTTACTATGTTATTGGCAATATATAGTACTCTCTATTCCAGACTCCTTTAAAAGAAAGCCTTTTTGTGAGCCATCCACCAACAATTATTTTTCACCACCTATAAATTGAGCTGGCAACAAGGAATCCCAGATTATATTGTTTCTGATTAGGATGCCCACATTTCTAAGCCACTGGGACTAGTGCTGTGTTATGCATGCTGTTTGTCCCCTCTTGAGTTCAGGTCACTTTAATTTTATCTCAAGTATTCCATGACCTCACCTAGACATTGTGACTCAAGATGTACAGTAGCTCCTTTGGTCACATAGCTCACACTTATATCAGGTCTTTGCTGAGCTGGATCAAAATGGATCAGACATCAGGTGAGAGATCTTATCTCAAAAAAAATGGTATTGCTGATAAGTTAAAGGAAGAGGTGGCAAGAATGGACTTCCATATGTTTTTGGACTACAACTCGCATTTCCTTCATCATTGCCTAAACTGGCTAAGGAGTTATGGGCTCTACAGTATTATGTATGAAGGGCCACAGTCGCCCACCCTTGATTTAAAGGATAATGAGGTCTATAGAAAGTAAAAGAAACAATATGTGATTGTGTATATTAAATCTACCAACTTTTTTCTGGACTATAGCCATGCCAAATGGCCATTTTTTAATAAAATACAGCCTTAGACAGTCGCTAACATCAAAAGTTGTATCCTGCACTTTGAAGTTTACAAGCAAGATGACAAAAATTTATGTCCAGGTAGTCCTTTTTAAAGAGCTCCCCAAAGCATTATATTTAGGCACATGCTGGCTGAAATTCCATTTGCAGTGTAAACCATCCACTCCCCCCTGATAAAGCACCACTATCATGATTCTCAGAAATGCATGCACACACTGGCTTGGTGCATACATAAATGCACTTTTGAGAATTGCAACAGTCGGCTTTGTTTACCAGGGAGGAACAAACTGAAAGTTACATTTCGACTAACACTACAAAGAGGCATTTAGCCACTCTCTATAACACTTATGTGCCCTCAGTACAACTCTGGGCTATGGTGACCCTCCCAGGATCGAAAATCTATTTCTTATGAAGTACTAAGAAGTGGTTTAGTATTCTCTTCTTCTCCTGGTGCTCTAGGACCACGCAACTAGCCCAGAAACTGATCAGATTACAGTAGGACTCTGTTTTTAACGGAGCTTCTTAAATGTTGTGATTTAAAATATTAACACTAAAGCCCATTCAACAGGGTGCTGAATCCCATCAGTCATATGTGCTCCAGATGATCTTGGTTGGTCCTTCTCCCATCCCTTACCTCTGGGCAATTCTTTCTGTTAGCTAAACTATACCAGTTCACATGGTCTATATGCTGTTGACTTATATGACAGACAATATTTCATGCTTCTCTTTTGTATGTTTATGCTATATGCAAAGAGAAGTGCACAATGTTATCTGTCATTTTCAAATTAATAAATGTCAGGATTCAAATATAACACAACTGATCTGAAGGTTGTTTATGCAGGGACAAGCAAAATTCTTTATAATAATCATAATTTCTAAAATGTTACATGTATAATAAAACCTGCTATCAACCTCATTTAGCAACCGAAAAATAGAGAAGACCAACTACATTACGGGAGTAGCACCTGCACCTATTGCACACACATTGTTATTTTAAAGATACTGTACGTAGCTCATGTTCATGTTGTATAAGTCTGCCCAGCTCTGCATGTAACTGTATTATTACACATATGCTCTTTTCTGCTCTTTTGAGGTAGCTGTTATCTCTCTATTTGGCTACAGTATATTTGCCTAGTTTTAACTAATGTAGGGTTTACTTTGTTGCTACACTAAGTATAATCATTATGAGATTATCACTAATTTAATTTCTGATTTACCTTTAAACATGTAAATAAATACATGACTTATTTTAGTGATAGAGTTATTTTGTATGGACCAGCAAGTGGTAAATATAGGAGAACCATCTCACATAGGTCAAGCAAATAAATCAGACTGTACAGGAGAAGGCAATAACATAGTGAAAAGAGAAACAGATTAGAGTATAGTAGAACTGTTTTTTAAAAGAACTTCTTAAATTCTGTAATTTAAGAAATTAACAACAAAGCCCATTCCACTCAGCTTTTACCTTTTTAATTGGAAGGTGTGGCTTGAGAAAGATGGCAGCAATTTAAGCATTATAAATCAGGAGATTCCCCCCCCTAATTTTTTCATTTCTAAATAGATTAAACTGGCCTGGTTGAGAATGCTTTACAGGATGTATAAACAAATTCACACAATTTAGTCTAGATTTATTCATCTGAAATAGCAAGGGATGCCAGTAATTGCTTCCATTCTTCTAATATAGTTACTAATAAACAGATAATAGATTTTAGAAGCCTCATAAATACAGTTATCCAAACAGGGCTCTCTCACTCCAGCTGTCTCAAAAGAGGGCCTTTTCAAAGACTTCTCCCAGGCTGTGGAACTCCCTTACACCTGACAGAGTTGTTTGTTTGGTGGCATGAGGAGAAGGAAGTTTTACGTTGAAGGATGTTGCACTTTCCTTGAATTTTGAAATATTTTGTTTTGTTTTAGCTAGACCTTTATTACTATTGTATGATGCATACGTGAGTATGAAATAAACTAGTGAACAGCGGGGGAAAGGAGACAATGTTTAGAGTGAGGAAACTATTTTTGCTCCTGACCCATTACGTACTAAAGCGCGATGCTGATTTACACAATCATTCATCAGCGGAAGGTTTTGAGTGCACGCTCTTTAAAACGCCCAAACATTGCGAAGTATTCCCATTCATCCCACAAAACGTCTGAATTCCTGTTTATACCCCGCCTGCGCTCCCGAATTCCCTTTCCTCTCACGACAATCTTGTGAGGTAAATAAATAAATAAAAAACTTAAAGAGTGTGCCGGCTAAGGATCCCTTAGTGAACTTCTGGACAAGTGGTGGTGCTGGGATTTTAACCTGTTCTGCTTCGAGGTTTCTGAAGCCGCGATCAAATCTTTCTCTCTCTTTTTTAGTAGGATACCTTTATTCACTGCACTGCACAAAATTGGCCAAAGACGTGAGGGGGGCAGAAGCAGGTCAGTCATTTTGGATCAACAGACGCGGAGAGTAGAACTCGAGGGCTGGGGTTTGGTTTTTCTCCCCCACTCCTTTGTAACATGGGAAGCCAACAACAAGGATTTCCAGGAAGGCTCTGCATTCCCCAGCCCATTTTGGCACCAACGCCGCCGGTCTGACAGCCCTTTCCACGGCCGCCTGACGCGCCTTGGCCGCCCTCAACCTGGGCGTGCTCAGCGTCCCCAGGAGCGTGTTGTGGGGGGGAGCGGGGAGCGAAAAAGCTGGCGCTCCGCCACGGCCCGCGGCTCCCAATCATCCTCGGGGAAACATCAGCGGAGGCGGAGCTGGGCTCCCGCGTGGCCGGTGGCTGGGATGGGAGGAGCCGGCGGCATGCTCGGGACGGTGCTCTGTTACGTCCTCTTGCCGCTAACGCGGCTCGTTCGCTCTTTGCAAGGTAATTCCCCCCGCGGCGCTCCCCTCCGGCCGGGCAGCGTCGCGCTGGGGCTGCCGGTCGCGCGGCAGGAGATGGGACATG